AAAAGGCAGAGTGAACATAGACCCCTCCGTGGTGCGCGTAGCGCGCCAGGAGCGGCGCTTGAGGCGTCGGCAGGGGGTCGAGCGCCTTTTCCCTGCTTCTGCTACACGCTCCTATTTCCGCTCTCGGTGTGTCGGAGACGAGGGTGAGCCCCGAACAGGTCAGCCCAAGCACACTATCTTACAACAATGTACGCCAGTTGGATCCATTATGGGTGCGGCTTGAGGCTGAGATGCTTCGTCGTGTCATTATCGATACTGCTTTGGATGCAATAACCCACGCTCGGACGCAGGAATGGTCAACCTTACCGATGCTCCTGGTGCTCCTGTACCTGCCCACGCTCTCTTCTCCACCTCTCGTCCACGCTCACCCTGCCTGCTCGCCCCGTCCCTCCCTCCGTCACCGAAGCGGTTGACTGTGTCTGGCATGGGCCTCTCCCCCTGTTGGTGCAAAGGCAGCGCTTGGTAGGGTTGTCTCCAGTCGCCAGATTCTGTAACCTTTGTGTGCTTGTTTCACTTTGATTCCCGGCGGAGCTGGGTGAAATTCCGTGACTGACTGACTGACTGACTGACTGACTGAATGTGAGGAGAGCACTTCAGACAACACATTTCAATCCGCCCGGGAACGCGTAACCGCAACCGGGCGACACATTTCAATCCGCCCGCGCGCGCAACCGCAACCGCAACCAGGCGACACATTTCAACCAGCCCGCGCAACCGCAACCGCAACCGCATCTGGGCGACACATTTCAACCCGCCCGCGCGCGCAACCGCACCCGCAACTGGGCGACACATTTCAACTCGCGCGCGCAACCGCAACCGCAACCGCGCAACCGGGCGACACATTTCAACCCGCTCGCGCAACTGCAACCGCAACCGCAAGTGGGCGACACATTTCAACCCGCCCGCGCACCGCAACCGCAACCGCAACCAGGCGACACATTTCAAACCGCTCGCGCAACCGCAACCGCGACCGCAACCGGGCGACACATTTCAACCCGCCCGCGCTCGAAGCCGCAACCGCAAGTGGGCGACACATTTCAACCCGCTCGCGCAACCGCAACCGCAACCGCATCTGGGCGACACATTTCAACCCGCCCGCGCGCGCAACCGCAACCGCAAGAGGGTGACACATTTCAACCCGCCCGCGCAACCGCAACCGCAATCGCAACCGGGCGACACATTTCAACCCGCCCGCGCAAGTGGAACCGCAACAAGGCGGCACAATTCAACCCGCCCGCGCACCGCAACCGCAACTGCAACCAGGCGACACATTTCAACCCAGCCGCGCAACCGCAACCGCAACCGCAACCGGGCGGCACAATTCAATCCGCCCGCGCAACCGCATCCGCGACCGCAATTGGGCGACACATTTGAACCCGCCCGCGCGCGCAACCGTAACCGCAACCGGGCGACACATTTCACTTCGGGTGCACATACATCATGGGTTACCTTGCCCTCGTTTGCAAATTCTCTTTTCGGTGTCCGCTCACCTTCGGTCCTCCTGCAGAGGATCTGAGGAGGAAGGAGGGTGGGATGGAGGAGGGAGGGAAGGGAGGAGGGAGGGAGGAGGGAGGGAGTGAGGGAGGAGTGAGGGAGGAGGGAGGGAGGGAGGGGGGGAGCAGGGAGGGGAGGAGGGAGGGAGGAGGGAGGGAGGAAGGAGGGAGAAAGGAGGCAGGGAGGGGAGAAGGGAGGGAGGAGGGAGGGAGGGAGGTTCACGAGGAAAAGGAGGAGGAGGATGAGGGGGAAGAGGGAGAGGAAGAGGAGGACAGGAGGACGAGAGACAGAGTGCGGGAAGAGGAGGATGGGCAGGATGGCCAGGAGGAGGAGAAGGAGGAGGAGGAGGACGACGACGACGATGAGGAGTGGGATGCGGCGGTGGTCGCGTTCCAGGGGTTGTATTAGGAGCAGGTTCCGATGGAGGAGGGTACCCGATGGCTCGATAGAAATATGGAGGGCCAAGAGCTTGCGAACGAGGAGGGGGAGGCCGATGAGGAGGACGAGGGGGAGGAGGAGGAGGAGGGCGAGGAGGAGGAGGAGGAGGAGGAGGACGAGGACGCGGCTCTCCGCCGGGACATTGCAGCGGGGAATCCCCATTCCACGCTGCTGCCTCTGATTGCTTGCATCCTCGGTAGTTCTATATCTGCATCCCCCTGGTCGTCGTCGTCCTCGTCCTCGTCCTCGTCCTCGTCCTCGTCGTCGTCGTCGTCGTCGTCGTCGTCGTCCTCGTCGTCGTCGTCGTCCAGATCGTCCCTTCCTCTCCCTGTCCCGCGCCCGCCCCCCCCCCGCGGCGCGGCCCGGCCCGCCGCGAGGAGCTGATCGCCTACCTGGACAAGCTACTCTGAGGCCCTGCGGTGCGGGCGGCGTTCGCCGAAAGCCGCGCGCGCACCGACGGGCGCCGCGGCGGCCCCGCCTGCGGGCGCCTGTGCGCCGCGGGGGCACCTCGGCGCCGCTCGCGAGGACGGCCGGGCGGCCCCGCTGGCGGGCGGAGGCCCGCGCGCGCCGCCGCCGAGAGGGGTCAGCTGGGCCCGCCGCCGCCGCGGCGCCTCCCGGCGGCGGTCGTCGCTGCCGCCGTCGGAGTCGCCGCTGCGTCGCCGCGCTGGTGCCGCTCGGCGCCAGGGCGGCGCCGTCGCCGTGGGGGCCGCCGCCGCGGCGCCGCCCCAGCGGAGGCGGGCGGCGGCGGCCGTCGCTGCCGCCGTCTGAGCCGCGGCGGCCCGCGCGCGCGGAGGCCGCGGAGGCCGTGGAGGCCGTGTCGTCTGCTCCGGCGGCGCCGGGGGCGGCGGCGCCGCGCGCGCGCGGAGGCCGCCTGCCGCCGCGGCGGAGAGGAGCCGCTTACGGGCGGCGGGTGGGCGGTGCACGGCGGAGACCGTGTGAGGGGACGGAGAAGGGGAGGGGAGGAGGACGGGGGAGGGGGGGGGGGAGGGGGTGACAGGTTCTCCTTGAGCGCGTGCGCCTAATTTTAGCCGCTGGTTTCAATTAGGGTCAGCCTGTTCGGAGTTTCCTGTTCGCTGTGGGTGTGTGTGAGGGGGTGTGGGCAAGCTGGGGGCGCTCGCGCAATACCTGACGTCCTACCCCTCCCACCCATCCCTTCCCACTGCGCGGATCATTCCAGAGGCTTGCGCCATTCCGCCGACCCCCAAGAAGAGGGATGAAGTCAAGGGGTGAGGCCTTCTGGGGTCGCTTGCGGATCCTCCAGGGGCCTCTTTCGGGCTTCTTGTGGGCCTTTTCGGGCCTCTTGGGAGTTTCTTGGGCGCCTGCTGGTGGTCTCGGGGGTCCTCCCGGGGCGGAGGGCTCGGAGTTTCAGTTCGAGTTACCTCTCTCGGGGCTTTGTTGGGGCTCTCTTGGGCCATCTTGGGCGCCTCTTGGGCCGTCTTGGGATCCTCTTCCGCCGTCTTGGGACCTTCTTTTTTTGATTCTTGGGCCGTCTTGGAGTGATCATGGGGGCCTCTTCAGCCGTCTTGGACGCTGTTGAGTGCAAATTTGTTCAAATGATGCGTTTTCCTTAGGAGTTTGGACGATTCTTGCTTCTTGAGGCCCTCTGGGGGGTCGCCTGGGATCCCTCTTGGGGCGTCTTTGAGGTCCCTTGGGCAGTCTTGAGGCTATCTTGGTCGCTCGCCTTCGAGGACTCCTGTGCGTGTTGGAACCTTGCTTCAGCAAGCGTAGATCGAATCTTAGTCATCTTGGAGGCCACAGGGTGCAAAAACGGAGGCTCCGGAGGCCTCTGGGAAGCGTTGATGAGCTGACATCCCCTCATTAATCGGACTTCGGGCCCCAGGGGAGGGGGAAAGGCGGAACGGGACAGCCAATCATCTCACGCGCCTTGACACACCTGGAGAGTGGGGGGTCGTCGTTGTCTCCGTCCGCCGACGGGTGGCACGGGGGACGGTGGAGCCCATAGAAGGACCCAACCGTGTCATGCGCAATACAGTCAACCCGAATAGTAAGGATGGGCAACCGTCCCAAGGGTACCGTTGCATCCTTGCCTCCTCGGTCTATCCTTCGCCGCTTTTGCTGGCCGCGCCCCGCTCGAAAAGCTTCGAAATGGGCGTCCAAGGCCCTTGCATCCCTATTGCGCATCCTTAATATCCTGTTTGACCGTAAGAACTGCGCACATTGGACGAGGAGGAGGAGGAGGAGGGGTTTGCGGATGACGGGAAACACCTTCTCAAGGCCCTGGCTCGAGCGATTTCTGGCGTTTATCGTGTGTCGGCGGGGTCGCAAGCCCCTGCACAGCATGCATGCAGTTGATGGCGGGACGTTTTGCTTTTCTTAGCCGAAGTTACCCACGCTGGAGGGCCGAGCGTTCGGTGACGGCACGATCACCGTGGACCTCCAAGCCTTCGACCGACGCCGAGGATGGGAACGAGCCAGTGCACAGCACAAGCAGCTATCACCGCGCCTGCCGAGCCAGACTCGCCAGAGGGCGGGTGTGGTTCAGGGGAGTACTGTATGAAGACCAGGATGCAGTGGCTAAGCTATGCCGACTGGCGGCGCACAACGGCGCGGTGCTCCCACCTCGACTTCTCCCGCCGACCAGCGGTATCCCGAGACGAGGATTTGGCAAGACGAGGTGTGGACGCATGGACGTGGTTCTCTTGCACGTGACGGTTGCTCGAGACGACGTCCCCGCTCAGCAGGGCACCGTGCCTCCCCATGGGCACCAATGGGTGAACCTCGACTACATTATCACGCGTCCGCCACGTTCGGACCGCCACCCGTAGGATGGTGCAGCCACTGCGGCGTCCAAGCGGATTGCTTCAAGGGGCGATATCGCAGTTATTCGCAGTTGGCAGGTGGGCCAAGCAGTGAACATTCGTGTGCAAAGCATGCCACGTATCGACATATACATTCTCCGTGACTGCGCCCCCGCCGACAAGCTCCAGGCACGGCCCATCACGACGGCTGTCCACGCAGCGTGCCGTTAAGACAAGGATGAGTACTTCGACAATGTGGGTCGAACCGTGGGCCATATCGCTGTGCTGTTCTACTGGCCATGAATGGCGATGGCAGGGTGGCCTCGCCACGACCTGAAGTGGAACATACTCGCTCATGGAGGACGTGCCGACAAAAGTGGGCCGACAATGTACGACACCTGCATGACATTCTCTCCCGGTGCGGCTCAGGTGCTCCCACCGCCCTTGGACCTGCAGCAGGACGTAGCGATGCATGGCGGAAGCCCGATGGCCAGGGTGTGACTTGGATCGGCTCTTTCGCCGCGCTGCGTATCACGGGTTCCTAGGCTTTCGCACTGAACTACCTGCAAGATTGGCAGCGCTGGTCAGCGGCTAAAGTGGCGGCCCGAGGCAGTGGCGGCCCCGTGGCCACCGCCACCTGTGAAGGCCTTCGTGGCCAGGACCAAGTGCACCACGCCATCGTCTCCTTGGGCCAGGATCTCGCGCAGATTTCCCCTGCCGACTACTACGACCCCGTCGTGCTGGTAGTGGCCTCCGCAGCGTGCGACTCCCTCGCGCCTCAGACGGAGCGACAGTTCTTTGCCGTCTCTATTGACGCGGTCCGCAATATCAAACAGAAACAGGAGGCCATCTGGTGGGCCCCCGGGCTCGCCGACGAACGCGCTCCTCCCGGTGCCCTGCGCAGAGGGGGCGCTGCTGGAGGAGATGGCCAAGTTCATGCCCCAGCGCGAGGGCAGCCACGGCACCGCCAGCCACGGCACCGCCTACCGCGACGCGTGGTCCTGGAGCTCGAGAGCAATGCCAATGTGGCGCTGAGCACGGACCGCGCGGTGACGTCCCGCGGCTCTGAGGGCATGACAGCCGAGGCGGCGGTCGCGGAGGCGAGCGAAGCGTGCAAGCGGCTCTCATAGGGTATACGCCCCGACGTCTCGCTCAAAGCGGTTCGGTGCATGGAGCTGCCCCGAAGGAGAACGAGACCGAGAGCGACCAGCAGCAGGTCGAGATGGCTTCGACGGTGGTCAGTACTGGAGAGAAGGCCCCTTCCAAGGCACCCGTTCCAGGCGACGTGCTGCCCCGTGGTAGCGTGCCAGGACAGCGAGAAGGAGGGCAAGGGTCGCTGCCTGGCCTCGTAGTGGCAGAAGCTGGCGGGCGCCCAGACCGACGGCGATTTTGCCCCTCGCCTAAATCCGCAAAAAAAGGTCGAGGCAATGGGAAAGAAGGAGTGCATGTGCAACGGGTGATGGGTTTACTACTTCGGTGAGACCCCTTGGTTCGTTTCGCGCGCCAATCTGCCTTTCGCGTATGCAGCCGCCCTGCTGCGTCTGATTTTTCTAGGCTGGTCGGGATCGCTGCGTTTTGTTATGTGCCGACAGTCCGTCGCCGCCAGTCGTGCGACCAGAGGGTCGTTGATGGTCAGGCGGCGTGTCCATTAGAGGATGGATGCCTCGCGTGATGTATCTGAGTATGCACGCATGTGCAAGCCTCCCTTCGGTGGGCCTTGTGGGAGCTCGCGAGACCCATTGATTTGGGGTTGCGGTTGTAATGAAAAAAACGTTTTCTCGGGACGAGAAGGCGATGGGAGTTTTGTTTGGCTGCGCAGAACCGGGTTTCAATGAAGAACAAGCTTGCGAGGGACAGCTGGCTCGCGGTTGCAAAGGGTAATTTGCTTGGCGGATGACGGAAAACGCCTTCTCGGAACGAGAAGGTGACGGGAGTTTGTTCGGCCATGCATACTACTTACGAATAAAAGCAGGAACGCGAGGGACAGCGGGCTACCGGCTGCAAATGGCTTTTCGCGTGGCGGATGACGGGAGGCGCAACGAGAAGGCGATGGAAGTTTGTTAGGCTATGTTGAATAAGGAATATATGAAGGAGTTCTTCATGTTTCCTTATTCGCGAACAAGCCTGAATGAAGAAATCGGTTCAACAGACTCGCGAGGGACGACTTGCTCACTATCGCAAAATGTCTCTTTGCTTGGCGGATGACGGGGAGCGCCTTCTCGGAACGAGAATGTGGTGGAGTTTGTTAGGCTCTTCTTGATAAGGAATTTGAAAATGTTAAGACTCGAGGGACCCATGGCTCGGGGTTTAAATTATCTTCTGCTCTCCAGGTTCCCCGAATCGGCGTTTCGCTCGAGACATCCTCGAAACACTGAGATGTTGAAGCCGCATGTTTGAGACTCCTTTCGTTAAACATAAGGCCGTCGGTCGAGACATCCTCGAACAATGAGGCATTGAGCTCGCTCGCGGTATCTAGCGAATCTTGGGCCATGCGAGTTAAACGCTCGGCGTTTGAAAACGGCCATGCGGGTTCAAGCGTCAAGCAGGACAGGCGATCATTTTCATCATCATCGGCATCATCAGCATCATCAGCATCATCGTTATCGTCATCATCATCATCACCACCGTCATCATCAGCAGTATCATCACCATCATCATCATCACCACCATCATCATCATCATCGTCACCATCATGGGCAGTATCCTGCCTGCTATGGGTCTGCCCACCCGATCTGCCCGTTTGGTTGTACCACTTGTTTTGCTCCTTGCCCCCTCTGCTCACTTCTCTCGTGCTCCATTTTTCCCCCTCCCCCTTCCACCCGTCTTCTTTTCCCTTGTTTTAGGGGTTGCATTAAAATCCACGTGGTAGGTAAAAGAGATATGCCCCCAACGGGACACGATCGAAGACGACGAGGGCGGGTACCGAGGGTGTGAGATATATGTATTGATTGGCACGTGCGCAAATAGGAGCGAACAGTCTTAAACTGATTGTTGTTGTTGTCGTCGTTGTCGGCGTCGTCGTCGTCGTCGTCGTGTCGTCGTCTCGTCGTCGTCGTCGTTATTGTTTTTGTTGTAGTTAATGTTGTTGTAATTGTAATTGTAATTGTTGTTGTTGTTGCTGTTGTTGTTGTGGTTGTTGTTGTTGGCGTTGCTGCTGCTGTTGCGGTTGAACTTCCACTTGTGAGGATTAAGTATTATTGATTCCCCCCGCCCGGTGCACACTGTTTTTTGCGATTGTAGTTCCCCTCTTGGGGCTCGCACCTTGTTTTTTATCAGAGAAAGTCTTGAGGGTCAAACTGTGTCGTTGGCCCCCAGTTTACAGCAACAGCGGTTTCCGCCTGATACGTTTTCACAAGTTATTGAAGAATCGCGCTCTCGCTTGGGACTTCCTTGCAATTTGCCACCGAATCGCGGCTCCCGCTTGATACTTCCTGACAGTTTGTTGCAGAATCGCGTTCTCACTTGGGACTTCTTCGCAACCTATCCCCGAACCGCTTCGTTTGATATTTCCTCACACTTTATTCAGATGCTGGTCCTCGACATTCAGGAATCGCGCTCCCGCTGCACATTGCGTGGCGGTTCAAGCAGGACTCACGCTTTAATGATTCGCCCGCTCGACCCGCCCGTCGGGGCCTGCCAGCCCGACCAGCCCGTTAATGACTGCAGTCGCCGCTCGCTGCTCTTCGCCCGCCTTCGATGTCCCTCGTTGCCCGTACTGGTTCCGCGGTCGCCTTCGCTCGCTGCCCTTCGTGGCCCCGTTGCTGCCCTCAGTGGCCCCGTCGCTGCCCATTGTGGCCCAGCATTATATGCCCTTCGTGGCCCCCGCTCGCAGTCGCCCCCTCGCTGCCCTTCGTGCCCCTTTGCTGTCCTCAGTGGCCCCGCTGTCGCCCTTTGTGGCCCCGTATACGAATGCCCTTCGTGGCCCCCGCTCGCTCGCGCCCGTCGTGGCCCCATATGCATGCCCTTCGTGGCCCCGCTGTCGTCCTTTGCGGCCCCTCGCTGCCCTTCGTGGCCCCTTTGCTGCCCTCAGCGGCCCCGTCGCTGCCCTCTGTGGCCTTGGATTTTATGCCCTTCGTGGCCCACGCTGGCTTTTGTCACGATTTACTTGGGAATCGCGCTATCTCTCGAGACTTCCTCGCGATTCATGCAGGACCCACGCCTCAGCAACCCGCCTGCTCGACCTCGTCGCCTGGGCCCGCCTTCCCGACCTGCCCGCTATGGGTCTGCCCACCCGGTCTGCCCGTGTGGTTGTACCACTTCTTTTCTGCTCCATGCCCCCCTCCTGCTAATTTCTCTCGTGCTCCATTCTTCTCCCTCCCCCTTCCACCTGTCCTCTTTTCCCTTGTTTTAGGGGCTGCACTAAATACGCGTGGCAGGTAAGGGAGATATACCCGCAAGGGGGTACGATCGAAGACGACGAGGGCGGGTACCGAGGGTGTGGGATATACGTATTGATTGGCACGTGCGCAGATATGAGCGAACAGTCTTAAAATGATTGTTGTTCTTGTTGCTGTTGCTGTTGCTGTTGTTGTCGTTGAACTCTCACTTCTGAAGAATGATTATTGTTGATCCCCCTCGTCCGGTGCACATTGTTTTTTGTTGATTGAAGTGCCCTTCCTGGGGCTCGCGCCCAGGTTTTTATGAGCGAAAGTCTTGAGGGTCAAACTGTGTTGTTGGCCCCCAGTTTACAATAACAACGGCTGGATACTTCGTCACAATTTATTGAAGAATCGCGCTCTCGCTTGGGACTTCCTTGCAATTTACCGCCAGATCGCGGCTCCCGTTTGATACTTCCTCACAATGTATTGAAGAATCGCGCTCTCGCTTGGGACTTCCTCGCAACTTACCACCGAATCGCGGCTCGCGCTTGATGCTCCCTCACAATCTATTCAGATGCCGGTCCTGGACACTCAGGAATCGCGCTCCCGCTACATACTGCTTGGCGGTTGAAGCAGAATTTACGCTTCAACGACCCGCCCGTCTGGGCCTGCCCGCTCGACCAGCCCGTCAGGGACTGCAGTCGCCGCTCGCTGCCCTTCGCCTGCCTTCGATGCCCCTCGCTGCCCGTACTGGTTCCGCGGTCGCCTTCGCTCGCTGCCCTTCGTGGCCCCGTTGCTGCCCTCAGTGGCCCCGTCGCTGCCCATTGTGGCCCAGCATTATATGCCCTTCGTGGCCCCCGCTCGCAGTCGCCCCCTCGCTGCCCTTCGTGGCCCCTTTGCTGCCCTCAGTGGCCCCGCTGTCGCCCTTTGTGGCCCCATATACGAATGCCCTTCGTGGCCCCCGCTCGCTCGCGCCCGTCGTGGCCCCATATGCATGCCCTGCGTGGCCCCGCTGTCGTCCTTTGCGGCTCCTCGCTGCCCTTCGTGGCCCCTTTGCTGCCCTCAGCGGCCCCGTCGCTGCCCTCTGTGGCCTTGGATTTTATGCCCTTCGTGGCCCACGCTGGCTTTTCTCACGATTTACTTGGGAATCGCGCTGTCTCTCGAGACTTCCTCGCGATTCATGCAGGACCCACGCCTCAGCAACCCGCCTGCTCGACCTCGTCGCCTGGGCCCGCCTTCCCGACCTGCCTGGGCCCGCCCGCTATGGGTCTGCCCACCCAGTCTGCCCGTGTGGTTGTACCACTTCTTTTCTGCTCCGTGCCCTCCTCCTGCTACTTTCTCTCGTGCTCCATTCTTCTCCCTCCCCCTTTCACCTGTCCTCTTTTCCCTTGTTTTAGGGGCTGCACTAAATACGCGTGGCAGGTAAGGGAGATATACCCGCAAGGGGGTACGATCGAAGACGACGAGGGCGGGTACCGAGGGTGTGGGATATACGTATTGATTGGCACGTGCGCAGATATGAGCGAACAGTCTTAAAATGATTGTTGTTCTTGTTGCTGTTGCTGTTGCTGTTGTTGTCGTTGAACTCTCACTTCTGAAGAATGATTATTGTTGATCCCCCCCGTCCGGTGCACATTGTTTTTTGTCGATTGAAGTGCCCTTCCTGGGGCTCGCGCCCTGGTTTTTATGAGCGAAAGTCTTGAGGGTCAAACTGTGTTGTTGGCCCCCGGTTTACAATAACAACGGCTCCCGCTGGATACTTCGTCACAATTTATTGAAGAATCGCGCTCTCGCTTGGGACTTCCTTGCAATTTACCGCCAGATCGCGGCTCCCGCTTGGTACTTCCTCACAATGTATTGAAGAATCGCGCTCTCGCTTGGGACTTCCTCGCAACTTACCACCGAATCGCGGCTCGCGCTTCATGCTCCCTCACAA